CACTGCTGTTACATAGTTTCCTCTTAAGTTTCTTCATCCATACTGTGTGAAGATATAACGCGTTCTGCCCATAAAGCGTTAAGATTTCTAAAGAAATAAGCATCAATTATATTAGCATTAGGGATCACTAGGCTCCGCTAGCAACGTTGAATACGGTGGTTTCATTGCAATGGTTGTGCTCCTAGATCGCAACACAAGTTGTAGTTGGGAACGAATAAGGCCCAACAAAGCTGTTTACATAACAAATGATTGAACGCATATTTTTAGCAATACCCACAGCAAAATTTACTCTTCACCATCTGCCTCAGCTTTGTCCGTATTTTTCAGGTAGAGATGCCTGACTCTGAACAATCGAATGCCTATTCATCTGAAATCAGTGTCTGTGTTTTAGTTCTCTACCTTCGAAAACCGCCACATCGATTACACGAGGGACGTTAACTTCTAGGTCACCAAACAGTTTATTTCAAAATTGTCTCTCTCCGTCTGTGGAGGTGGGTCGATCAAGTGGGACAAGATAGAGTGCATAAATAGAGAACCAAAAGAACGACGCCACTGAAGAACTGTAGTTGATATTTCAGCATTTCTTTAATGTCACCTGTTAATTTTGCTATGTTTGGAAACGCCCATTCAAATACTGTGCGCAGTTATGCAGTAATCTATCTGTAAATGTTATACGCTTGAATAAGGGGGCGGAATGGATATTCTCTAGTGGGTTAAGGTAACAATTCTGAAAAATGCTATGGCTCTGTCATCCATGTATGAAAGTGGGAGTTTCTAAAAACATTTCCGCAGCGCGTTAAGATATAGTGAGTATAGTGAGTATCGAGCAGTCTAATTATCTTTGCTTTGTAATCTACCAGGATCCGACAACAACTTTTGCTACAACAGCTATGAGGCGCCTACTGTTTATTTGTTCGAGACAAAGAGGCATTTGGGATCATATGGCAGTTGGAAGGTAAGCTCGATAAGTTGCGTATATAATTGAAATATTGTTACAGAGATTCTTCCTGACTATTTCACATCTAAAACTGCATGTTGAGGTGGAGGTGATATAGGTTTGCACTGTTTCCATGTGGGTGGGCAAATTGAGATTTGAATTGGAACCAGTATCTTAGAACTACCGGTTACGAGGAGATTATGACAGTCAATAGCTGTTGGTGTGGCTACTTGCAATTTCCTGCCGATTTAATGACCGAACAAATCTGGCTAAAACTGACTTCTGTGTTTCAGTTTCCTAGGCATAGAAAACAGCTATATGCACTTCAGACAAGACGTTAACTTCCGGGTTGCCAAATATTTCGCCTCAGAGTGGTCTCTCTGTTTGAGTGAGGCGGCTCGATGAAACAGGATATGTTGTGGTAAGTGAACAGAGATAAGACGTACAGACAAAACTCAAAATGCAGTCGCTAGGAAATTACAGTCAGCATTTTCACCTTTCATCTAGGGTTGTTTGTTTTTTCCAGAGGTAGTGGTTGGCATGATACAAGTTGATCATTTAACGAAAAGTTTTAAACACTGCACGTTTGAACAACGCGCGTCTGGCTGATCCATAAAGAAAATAGCGTTCCATTGAATTTAAGGGCGCTGATTCCGCGCATGATCCGAGTATCTCCTTGCGAGGAGGACGGCGATACAAATCGGGCTGTCAGATCCTGGCCATAATGGCTTCCCCCAGGCAGAAATTAGCAGGGATAACCATGAAAGAAAACATCGATGCATCTAGACCGTTGTTGAAGTCAAAACTCGGTAGCCTGTGCAGATGAAGGACCGTCGGATGACCCTTGCATGTTGCTGGAAACTAGGTGACTTCATAGTTGGATTTGGAGAACTCGCTGTGTAGTTGGGTTGCGACAAGCAGCCGCTATTGAGAACTCGGTTCACTTGTGGTGGACCTCGGTCAATCCGATTACAAGAATCGAATGTGAATGGGAATATATGGGTGTTGCTCACCCGAACACTGGCACCCCAGTGACTTCATCTTCGCAAGATGGTTTGAGACGACCTATGATGTGATTTTTCGTGACACCTTGTGGTCAATGATGAGTAGGTATTACTTTTGACGTGCTAGCTTTAATAGTTTCCTGTTCAATGATGCCACAGTTAGTCGAACGTTCTCTAAGCACAAGCGGAATGTGAAGGAGTATACCATCAAGTACCATTTAGTTTAGTCGCATCGACTTCTTTCCTGTTCTGCAAATGCTGGCGGATGTACCTGGCTCATCTCATAAGCTGGGCGGAATGTATTTATCATTGATATAAACAAGAGTCGAAGTTTATCTGTTGTACATGCTTAACAGGTAAAAGTGATTTACAATTCTTGGGCGGCTGTGTTGCTCCTGCGCCACAGCGAGCGCTGTGTGCTAAACCTAAGTGCTATCGGATATATATCTTGAAACCTGTCTTCTTTTGGTTGAAAAGGAAAGTAACCATAAAGTTTGGTAGGAGAGTAGAATGCAGTCTCCTGCTTGTCAACCCTGTCTGTATTTCTCGCATGTTTGTTGTTACTGGGAGTGACATGCATCGCTTGATGTGTGGCCAGTACTACCAAAGGGCGACAGGTTGCTTTTCAGCCTTCCAAGCACGCCTAGT